CGGTGCCCGGGGCCTCGTAGTTGCAGGGGGGAACACAACGCCGAGCCTTGGCGCCAAAACGCTGATGGAAAAAACAGAGAGCCTTTTCGCGCCGCTTCCACGTAACCACTCCGGCCACCACTGTCGGGTCAACGCCTGGTGTCGCCTCGAGGAGGGGATCGGCCGTCACACTCTGCACGGCGAACTGTCGTGTAGCCAGCAGAACTCGATCCGCTTCCTCAGACAAACCCCGGTAGTCGCCGGTCGTCAGACATGCCGAGTTAGCCAACACCGCTCGCACCGGGCCTGGTAGTTGGCGCAGGAAAATGCGCGGGAAAAGAAATCCGCCTTCATCTGAGCCTAATAGCGACAGCATTTTGTCCATCAGATCCACTGCTGTGCCATCGCCCAGCCCGGGTAGGGAAAGGAGTCTGTCTGCTCTCTCCGAGTCCGACAAGCTGAACCTCCTCAGCAGAAGTTGTTTGAGCGCGTCGTATTTCCCGCCTTGTGGAGGCGCCCGCAGGAGCTGCATCGCACGACGTGTTGTCTGCTGGTCGAGGGACGCCACGACCATATAATATTTCGGCTCATCGGTAGTGATTCCCCGTAGGTGGAACAGCGCTTCCACATGCTGAAACCACGAGGCCGGGTCGCTCTGCCAGAACTCCGGTAGCCTCGCTTCAGAGGCGGCGGCTGCAAGTTGCGGGAGTTGGGGCGACGTGGCCGAGGAAGACACCTCTCCATCCGTTAACCGAAACATTTTAACTTCAGGGTCACCAATGTGGCAGTCGAAAGGAGGCCACACGATTGCCGTTCTCTTTATTCCAAGACTGCCAACAAGTAGATCTGAACAGTTACAACTTGTGCCACAATCCTTGACATAACCACGCCCCCTACTACATGCCTGCTGGGTGAGAAGCATGGTCCTAATGTCCGCCACAACTGAGATCATCGAGCTCTCGTCCTGATTTACTCACTTACTCATTGTGACATCTGGTGCTGTTTGGTTGAAAACAAAGCTGATATACTTGCAGGTACACAGAATAAAAGATGCTCGCCGGAAATTCAAGAATCATCATGAAATCACCATGCATACACTCGTCGTGAAGGACGTAGTGTATAGATAGAGTGGATGTCTTAATGCCTGTGTTGTGTCTTTGAGCACAGAGAAGCCCAAAGTTGTGAATAGATGCAGCATTTGTGATCATCATATTTGCACACACACACACACACACACACACACACACACACACACACACACGCACACACGCACACACGCACACACGCATACAGTATGTATAGGAAATCAAAAACTTGAAATCTCCAAAGTTTTTGTCATTGTGTACGCAGAGTGCTGTGCAGTTCAGCTTTTGATTGGATCAGTGCATGCTCATCAGGCTTGGGAAATCCGAATTTATTGACTCCAAACGTTGTATATTTGGTCATCTAGCTATGCCGGTGATGTATAGTGACAGGAGGACAATGATGTGCTTGTCCAATAGATGGAACGTACAATTAAGCATACAACAGTCCTCAACTAAACAGGGCCTGATTTCACACAAAGTGAACTTGTGACCGACTACATTGAGACAAGCTCATTAGTTTAGCACCTTGTGGAAGTTTTTGTGAGATTCGCTTACGGCTCAATAAAGCTTGGGAAACACTTGATGATAACGTGTCAGAAAAAAAGCTGATGGTTTGCTTTGTTGTCCTGCGTCCAGTTCAAGAGAATGTTGAACCGAGAACTCACCCAGCTGTCCGAGACCAGCCGCTCTGGTAACCAGGTCTCTGAGTTCATCTCAAGTACCTTCCTAGGTAATTTCCCTCAACTTTGTGTGGTCATTTACGGATCCAAACCATGCACTTGCTTTTCGGTGAGGTGAGCAACTCAAGTACCCAAGTTCACGGCGATGTTTTGACAGAGAAGCAACATGACATGGACATCATGACTCCTCCCACGAAGGAAGAGAAGAAGAAGCGACCGATGTCCCAGATCAGTGGTGTGAAGAGGCCTACTCACAGTCCCAGCCTCGCACCCACCGCCATCCCTCGCTTCGGAGTCAACGCCACCCAGGAGGGTCTTCTAGCCAAGGTATGGGGACAGCTGCAGTCATGCTGTGAGATGACATGGAAGTTTCTGCGCATTGTTTTTACAATGTGTTTGTGTGTGTGTGTGTGTGTGTGTGTGTGTGTGTGTGTGTGTGTGTGTGTGTGTGTGTGTGTGTGTGTGTGTGTGTACAGGAATTGGAGGATATTAACAGATGGGGAATTGACATCTTTAAGGTCTCGGAGCACTCTGGGAATCGTCCGCTCACGGTCACCATGTATACCGTTTTCCAGGTAAATGCATGTGAAACATCTCAACAATGAACCGGATTCAAATCGCAATGTAGTAGTACAACGCACTTTCTAAATCACAAGGGAAGGCTGTAATTTGAGTGGTGGGGTGAAGAGAAAGAAACTCATTCATTTCGGTCGGTCGGTAGGAGAGATTTTTTTCATGTCCAGCCAGGTAAAAAATGATGAGACCACTTTGTTTTCTTCAAGTTCTTGTTCGTTTGAATGTGTGGCATGTTAAGGCGAATCACGTGACTAAGTGACACAAAAGAAAGCATGCAGTACCTAAAGGCCCTCAATTTTGGCAATGGAATGCCATCGCCATGATGGTAGAAGCGGTGAGGGAATTTTCAGGGAATCTTTGGAAAATGTTTCAATCAGCTCTTCGATTCAAATGTTTGTTGTCATTCATATACCGCTTCAAACAAATGGACCTTTAGTTGCTCTGGGCATTTCAACCGAACTGTAGACTGAAGAAAACAAAGGGTGTTCTCCTATTTTTTTTTCCATGACTCTCTACGTATATTTGATCGGTTTATTTAAAACGTGCCATTTTTTTTTCTATTTTATCTATTGTAATTATACCTATAAAATTCCACCTGTTCCTGAACGTAACCCTTAATTCATAAATATTACTCTATTATCCATTCAATTGTTGTTATTCCTTTACTATTATTGTTATAAAAAGGAGGGTGGATTCGAAATCAGCGCCAAAAAAAATCTCCTAGCGTTTACTTGCTTCTCTGTTACAAAATGGAGTACAAATGTGTTATCGTTGTGCGTACTGACTTACGTTTACGCCACATTTGTTTGGCAGAATTTTATCAAGCTGTCGTCGTGAATGCTTCAAGACTGCAAGTCAAAGTGTTTTGTAAAATAATAAAACTGGTCCAAAATACAGTGGAGGGAAGAAAAATTGCAAGGAGAGTCTCTTTCTTTCTAAATCATTCAGCCCTTCTCCAATCAGTTTTTCCACGGTGAATCGTTTTTAATTAAGAAACTGACGTCAGACATCTGTGTCAGGAACGCGACCTGCTCAAGTCTTTCAAGATTCCAGTGGACACTTTCATTACCTTCATGATGACTTTGGAGGATCACTACCACGCAGATGTGGCGTACCACAACAACATCCACGCGGCCGACGTCGTCCAGTCCACTCATGTGCTACTTTCCACGCCTGCGCTCGAGGTAGATGCGCACTGACGGACAAATGATGAAGAACTGTCACGATTGATGGTTTGAAATGGATTGCGTTCCTTGTGTGTGTGCGTCCATGAAGGCCGTGTTCAGCGATCTCGAGATCCTCGCCGCACTCTTTGCCAGCGCCATCCACGATGTGGATCACCCCGGGGTTTCCAATCAGTTTCTCATCAACACCAGTGAGTTGACCGCACGAAAGCTCGGTCATTTGGTGTATTTGATCCAACTTTAGCTTGATCAACGTTCCCCGCCCACCTCCCCACCCTCAGACTCCGAGCTGGCCTTGATGTACAACGACGCATCAGTGTTGGAGAACCACCACCTGGCTGTCGGCTTTAAGCTTCTGCAAGAGGACAACTGCGACATTTTTCAAAACCTCAGCAAGAAACAGAGACACTCGCTACGCAAATTAGTCATTGACATGGTGAGTTGACTTTAGCTGGTGGCGTCGAGAAAATGCTTTTCAAATGAGAAGGAGGCCTGACAACATTGACGCGATGGTTGTCATAACAGGTGCTCGCCACTGACATGTCCAAACACATGAACCTGCTGGCAGACCTCAAAACAATGGTCGAGACCAAGAAGGTCACCAGTTTGGGGGTTCTGCTTCTGGACAATTACTCAGACCGCATTCAGGTGAGAATTTATTTTTCAAACTGAAAAGCTTAGTATTCGTATAAGTATTATTTATTTATTTATTTATTTTTTACCTGGCCAAAATACATCTCTGTTCTTGTCAAGATTGCTTTTTTTTTTTTTTTTTTTTTAACTGTATTCAAACAACTTCTTTCTCTTAGAAGTCTCATTTCTGGAAAATAAGGAACTTTTTTTTTTGAGTTCTTTGGCATTTCATTTCATCCCGAGAATAATGTTGGCTTGCCATCGGGATCATGTCAGGGTTCTCTTCTCTCCGCGGGGGCCAAAATACCATATTTAGCACACAAATGATGCCGACCATGTCACCACAGGTCCTTCAGAACATGGTGCACTGTGCAGATCTGAGTAACCCCACCAAGCCGCTTGAGCTGTACCGGCAGTGGACGGATCGGATCATGGTGGAGTTTTTCACCCAAGGGGACAGGGAGCGCAACAAGGGCATGGAGATCAGCCCCATGTGTGACAAACACAACGCCTCCATTGAGAAGACTCAGGTAAAGTGTGTCCTCATCCTCAATCGCACTTGCGGGACGGCAGCAGTCGACCAATTCAATTCTAGAATATCCATCCGAGTGACCTGAGATGAAATCATGACGCGAGCGTTTGTTTGTTTGTTTGTTTATTTGTTTGTTTGTTTGTTTTTCATGTCACCGTCTTTTTGTACAAAAACCAATAAAAATTAGGTCATTTTGTACAAACGACCCAGAAAGTTGGGTCGAATTGACCCAAGTAGCAGGCAGATCAGTCCCTTTTTGGCCCCAATTGGATTATTTTTTGACACGGCTGTTTTTCGACTCACTCGTTCCCAAAATTATTGACCTCACGTGTCAATTGTCACAATCGACAACAAACTAAAACCATCAGTTGCCCTGATAGTGCAATCGTTCCACCTTGCTCAAATGACATGGAAAGGTTTGTTTACTTAACGCTGCCGTCGGAGAAAGTTCAGTCTTTTGCCACCTGGACATACGGGTCTGCCATGTTGGAAAGGTCGATCGAGTTGGGGGGGGGCAACGAATAAGAGGGAATCCCTCTCAACTGGTCTTCACGTTTCAGGTGGGTTTCATCGATTACATCGTCCATCCTCTTTGGGAGACGTGGGCCGACCTCGTTCACCCCGATGCGCAAGAGATCCTAGACACCTTGGAGGATAACAGAGAATGGTACCAGAGCATGATCCCCCGCAGTCCTTCACCCAATCCTGAAGGCCCGGAAGAAAGGGGAGTCACCGGAGAAGCGTCGGGGTTATGCACAGGCGCACCGTCCACCGACAAGTTCCAATTTGAGCTGACCTTGGAGGAGGAGGAGGGAGAATCTGAGACGGAGAGCCTGCCTGAGGAAATGCGAGGTAACAAAGAGAGTCAAGCATCCGGAACTGATTCTGGCAGAGGCTTAGATGCCAGATCTGCTCAGCCGCTCCCTAAAACCATCACTGCGGATGCAACCAGGACGTTTTCTGCACACTGCGATAAAGACGTGGCAGCAGAAAGTGGGACAGACACGAGATCAGACGTCCGACTCGACACATAGCACCCTTCCCAAGTTCCTTTTGTGGTTTTTTTTTTCTTCTTTTTTTGAGGGGGTGGGGGTTACTTTTCATCTTGATTTCAGTGCCTCATCCGCTGCCACTCCGTTTCGCCAAGCCCCACACAATCTTGACCTCGGGAGGAGCCTCGGGATGAGGAGCACTTGGGTGCAACTGTGAAGCAAGTCTGCAAGTTGAAGTGGGCGCTTGCACTCATGACAGAGAGCTGGACTGGGCCCAGTAAAGGACGCCAATCCATTTTTCGGACTGTCCGTTTCTGTTCCGTCAGTCAGACGCACTGTGGATGTTCCGCAGGGACTATGTGACAAAAAATACTCGTTCCGCCCCGAAACTAAATTGTCTTCCTCTTTTTGGAGTTTTTTGTAAAGATGCTGAGGAAGTGGCGAATGGTGTGAAAAACACAATGACGTCAGCTTGATTAGCTCGTCCACTTGAACTTGGCTAAGGTTACTTGAAGAGGTTTTGCCTCATTCAAGCGTGCTTCCCACGTCGTGACAAACAACAGGGAGCATCTCCCTGGCAAGAGGTTTTGCCAAACTAGCAATTGGACAGTGTTGTTTTGTCTGGCCTTTGAAATCCTTTGCTTTGTCATGCTGTCTTTTCATTGAGGTCACTGTCATACCGGTGCAAGCGTGTCGGAGCCTGAAACCCAGCAGACAAATTTGAGTGACTCCTGTCAGCCATTGGAAGAAGAATATGATTAGAATGAATGACCAACAGCTTTTTTTAAACATTGTCCCCTGCCTCCACCTTGTTACCTCTACTTGTGTACTTGTGTGTATCGGGCTATGCATTTGGTACCTGGGCCTTCAGGGACTTTTCCCACCTAATCCACCGTTTAATAGCACCACTATCACGGAACCAAAACGCAGGTTAGCTGCCACCTCCATCATCTGGAGCAATAGTTATGTCATGACCCAAAAAATATTTTTTAACTTTCTAAAATGCATCATACTCATCAGAGTTGCTAATGATTTAACATATTAATGAGTACAGCTCGACACAGATTTGCAAGTCAAAGTTGACTGAACCAGTTTTGCTCCGACCAACTAATCAGGACCGACCAATTCTTACATCATCACTGAGGGCTAGTTCACTGGCCCTGGAAAGATGAATTTGAGAAATGATTGGTTTAATATGTACTGATCAAAAAAATTAAGGGAACACTTGGAGTTACATTGTGCTGTTTAAGTGTTACCTTTATTTTGTTGAGCCGCTTAGTTTAAGATACATAGGCCGGCGCTTTGGATTCTGAAGGCCCTGGGTAGATTCATTTGTTATACACTGTACAGTAAAATAAAATACCTTTTCAGGGGGTAAAACAAACAAAAGCAAACAAAAAAGACAAATACACATATACAAACTAAAAAACACACAAAACAAACTGCAAAACAAAAACGCTGCAAATAAGAAAGGCTGCAAATGGCCAAACAGGAATGAGGCAAACAAAAAACAAACACATAAATGCAATCACAGCAACAAAGTACTATAAACCACAAAACAAATGCAAAAAAAAAAAATAATAACGCTGAGGAAATCCAAAACAAGGTTCACGCCACTCAAACTAAGTTTACCAGGCCACTAGGGGACACTGCAGGACCAGTGCCGTGAGACCAGATACAAGATTCCCGCCGTTTTCCTCTCTCAGATGAACTTCTGTCTTTTGTCGATCTGTAATTGTCTTGCGTTAATTAGATATGGTACAAGCTGTTATAAAGAAACACAGGGTCAAACCGTGTAACTAAGATGCTCGATTATAATCTAGTAAAAGACAATGTCATACGTGTGTTTAAAAAAAACATGTACCTTTTGTTTTCTCCAAAGGACTGCCAATGACAGTAGCTATGAATCAGGCAATTCCGCTCAGGTCTTTACAAAGAATGGCCTGGCGTGAACTTACATTTTTTTTTTCTTGCCTGTCATTTTTGAGTTGTTGTGTTTTGGATTTCAGCAACGTTTTATTTTGGGGTTTTTTCCATTTTGTTTTGTGGTTTGTAATGTTTGCTGCCACTTTGTTGCTGTGATTCCAACATTCTTTCATATGGGTGTGTGTGTGTGTGTGTGTGTGTGTGTGTGTGTGTGTGTGTGTGTGTGTGTGTGTGTGTGTGTGTGTGTGTGTGTGTGTGTGTTTTACATCATTCCTGTATTTTGCAGTGTTTGACCGTTTACAGCATTTCTTACTTACAGCATTTTTGTTTTGTTGTTGTCTTGTTTTTATTTAACTTCCATGTGTGTGTTTCTAGTTTATTGCTTGTTTGTTTGTTCGCAGCGCATTTTTCCCTGTTAGCCACCTACAAAGAGGCCAAAATGTGTTTGGAGAAAAACATCCACGTAAACACCCTTGAAGCAATGCATCAAACAAAAACACGACAATAACCAAATATTACAGTTTAGGTTTGTAAATGCAGCGCAGTGCTTCTGATAGTGTTTATTAAGCAAGCAGAGAAAGGCCTGGCCGGCCTTGACATCTCACCGATGGTCTGGAAACTTAAGAAATCAAGTGTCGACACATCCAGGAAATAACAGCCACATCAATGTGGTCTGTTTACATGGTGCCCCCTAGTGTTGAAAAGTAGTCCTTCATCTTTGGCATGAAATTTGTATTTGCATGGCTTGCATGGGAAATTACAGATATATATATATATATATATATATATATATATATATATATATATATGACTGGTTTCTGATTTGTTTAAACTGTCTTTAATTTTCATTTGAACACACTTGTCTCCTTCAGTGATATGGTGCCACCCATTTGATCAGTTTGCCTTCAAGTTGAGCACTTTAAAGCTTTTCTGTTCATGACGAGTAGCCCTCATTGTGATTTGGAAGGGCTTTGATTCAAACCACGAGCACATGGAGGCTTTTGACTGAAATGCTACATGCACAGAGATAAAACGCTACATTCTGTGGGCCACAGCCACTGACTTTAGAACAACGGTGCATTAGCAAACTAAAGTTGCGTTTTCACCATAAGGAGCATGTATCTTTGTAATGTTGAAAACAAAACAAGTCAGGCTTATCCCCATCCCATGAATCAATATTTTGCTCTTCATCACAGACGTCAATGACAAAACAAGTGCCAGGCAAGCATGACACATCCCGTACTGTAGTTTCCATTTTGCCACAGGCTACTTTCCACCAGCGCCAAACTGATGAAGTTGGTTGATTGTAGCACCTCGTGTGCCAATCTGAGCCCAGTGTGTCTTCGCCAACTCCTATTCAAACTGTAACTGATATTGTCTTAAAGCAGTGATGTCTTTTTCTATGTGGGAGCGAATGACTGGGTGGACCTTTTTTTTTCTTTTTCATAGATGTATTTGCTAATAAAAACCAAAGCACTTTGTTTTGTTTATAGTACAATGTGATGATGCGTATAATGTGTGCGGTTTGTAGTTGAGTGGAATTCCTAGGCTACATCACGACAGCTGTCAGAGACTTTGCAAGACTTTCTTTATTTTTCTGTATTTGATGCACAACTTTGTCGACAATATATGAACAGCATAAAGACAACTATAGAGTTCTGTTATAGCACCAATCACTCCGTTCTCTTGTTTCTTCAGCCTTATTTTCTCACCTGAGATTTTCTCACGTTTTTTCTGAGCAGAATACTTGCCAACATGCTGGAGGAAAACATGTGCAATGCTTTCTGTCACCACTGACAGCACTACAAGATGCCTTGAAAGCGAAGGTAGATTGAACAGCTTTGTTACTAGCACAACATGCACCAGGATTCGGTGTGTGTGTTATTTTTCTTGTACATTTTCCTCACATTGCTCCATGTACTGTTTATTTATTATTTCCATATTGGCTATAAGACACAATGGAAAAGTAGACTTTGTTAGTGCAAGGTTTAGTTCTCATTTGTAGGATGATGTTCCTCATGGGACAGGTTTCAAATGTTACTCTGCTTTTTTTTTGTTGTTCTGTTTTAGCTTTATTTTTTCACCCACTGTTCATGTCTGCGAATAACATCCACATGCCTCATTACTCATTTTCATGTTTTGTTGGTGTGAAAATATTCAAGTGGCAGATTTCCATTGCGGATTTCTGAATTGCTTCCCTTCTACTGTCTTCCTCTGTTGTCATTCCACACGAACAAACTAAGATTGTTCATCCACAGTAAAGATTCTGGTCCAAAACGGTCATGTTGATGTTGTATGGGTTAGGAACGATAACCACAGCTTTGACAATCTCTCTGTTGTTTAACTGCGGGTGTTTGTGCCCTCCTTCCAACTAGAACTGTACGCCTTGCCAATAAAAGAAAAACATTTCACTCTTCATGTCCTCCCTGCTTCTTTTAAAGTAAAGCATGACAATTTTGTTACTTCCCATACAACCCCCCTCCAAGATTCCAAGTGATAATATGAACAGTAGGGAAACATTTCCCTGCACAAGGACATTTTTACTTTGCAACATTATGTAACATATTAAAAATAAAATAGATTCATTCATTCATTCATTTACCGAACCGCTTGATCCTCACTAGGGTCGCGGGGGTTGCTGGAGCCTATCCCAGCTGTCTTCGGGCAGTAGGAGGGGACACCCTGAATCGTGATGATAAAGCGGATCGGAAAATGGATGGATGGATGGATATATTAGGCCAGTGGTTCTTAACCTAGGTTTGATCAAACCTGAATCGGTCTCAGTGGTTCGACGGAGCCTCTACCATGGAGGTTAAGACACACCCGACTCAAGATGTCAATTAGTAATAACACACCCGCTTGGCCATCGCTGGCTGCAGATGATCACATTACATTGCTTGTTCAATCAGTGCTGCTGGAAATTTAGTTCGCTCAGAATTCACCATGTGACTGTCATGATAGTACATCATACATTTTTAAAAGCCTATACTTATGCCTTGTAATTTTATTTATTTTTTCTGGTTTTAATAAATGTGTTTTTTTATGTCTTGAATTTGTAAAAAAAAAATCATATTTTGATTTTTCACTGATGAAGGGTTCGGTGAACGTGCATATGAACTGGTTGGGTTCGGGACCTCTAACACCTCTAACTCTGAAGAACCACTGTCTTAGCCACTATAAGACCCAGTCTAAGTGCAGCCTAGACATGTCTGCCATCTTGTGGTAAACGGTAATATCTCAACCTAAAACTACAGTCGACTCCTGCATATTCGCAGTTCAGCCAGCACCTTTGCATTAACATTCATCCAGCCGTTATCTCAGCCACTTATCCTCAGGAGGGTCGCGGGCGTGGGGAGGGTCGCGGGCGTGGGGTGGGTCGCGGGCGTGCGGGAGCCTCTCCCAGCAGTCTTCACGCAGCAGGTGAGGTACACCCTCAACTGGTTCCCATCCAATCGCAGGGCACACATTGACAAACAACTATTCACACCCACGATTACATTTACGAACAATTCAGTGTTCCATTAACCTGCCAGGCATGTTTTTTGGATGTGGGAGGAAACCCGAGTACCTAGAGAAAACCCACGCAGGCATGGGGAGAACATGCAAACGCCACACAGGAAGGTCGAACCTTGGACCTGTGAGGGGAGCGTGCGAACCATTTATCCATCAGAGCGCCTTGGATTAACATATTTGTGGCTCTTTTTTCTGTTTCTTCATTTTTTTCATATTTTTAACTACTATTTTTTCAATTCTTTTTCTTTTCCTTTTCCAGGATTCCCTCCCTCATCCCCTTCTCCCTCCCTGTTTTCCTGGAAAACATACATTGAACGTTCATTTATCAGCGTTCATTTAAGATTTGAGGAGTTTGTTAAATAAATAAATCAGTCGATGAATAAAAAATTGCCCGTTTCCCATTCTTGGTGTATAGTTTTAATGTAGCCGAATATAATTCCTTAAAAAAAAAAAGATTTCAAAGGTTATTTCCCATGGTTGCATTCTGACAATCGTCTCGCCCGCTCACGTTTTCCTCTCTGATTGGTGCAAGCTCATGTCAGTCATTCTTAACTTTCTTTGGCCCCACCCACCTGGGCCGGGGCCTGTCAATCAAGAGAAGCACGCTAGACTGCAGGTGCGAAGCTGGGCAGGCTCCAGGCTGAAACGACTGCAGCGAAGCCGACAATAAAGCAAGCATTTCACGGTAAACTATACGAACATATGTTACCGGCTTACTCTGTCTGGATTTAGTGTATCACTGCTAGTTTGTGGAATGCCGACTTGTCTGTTTCGACTGATTTTTGTAGCCGTAAATATGCAAGCGTAACCTTCATTTGACATAGCCAAGGATGCTTAGCTAGCGCCTCCTGCCACTGAGAGCTAAATGGCAACAACGAACCTGTGTGTCACTTTCATTATATCTCCTAGAGCCACGTGTGATGTATAAGTGGCTCTCACAATCCGTCTTGCCGTGTGTCGTTTGACAGAAAACGTCCCCCCACCCTCGGTGGTAATTGGTTCGATCGTTTTATTAGCCTGCTAACGTCGGATAATCTCCGATGTGAAAATGTCACGAAAACTGTTTGAAATGTGTTCGGTCAGTTTTGTCGATGCTTTTTGTTTTATTTCACCTCCATTTGGTTGGGGCTGTGACCCGGGTGGGATAAGGGGGTCTAGTCAACCATATGGCCGTCCGCGTTTGGCTAGCCCAGCTGCCCAGCCTCCCTTTGGAGCTTGCATGTTTCCAGTCAGCCAGTTGATCTGATGCTTAGCCTTGCTAAGCCCCAATACTTCCGTTTTGTCATCTTGTGGGGTTGTTCTTAGGATGGGTTCACTGTGCAGAGATGCTTTTAGCTGCTATGTTAGGATGCATTTCCTCGTCGTGATGCCTCTTTATGGCGAATCGGTTTTGCTGTGCAACAGGACAATGTGATCTCCAGTGAGTGAACCCTCTTCTATTCTCATCTTCACCCATTTACCTCGTCGTCATCCACCATTTGTGGTTCATTCAAGTATGTGGCACCCTGAAACGAGGGTCGAACATCTGATTGAGTTTAATCCAACCTTGCAATGTAATTGAATGGAATTTTATTATTACAAAGGCTGCAATTTGGAAAACCGTTTGATCCCTCTGTAGGGTTTTTATTTTATGTGCAGTGTGCATATTTTATTTGGGCGGTCCAGTGGTTAGCGCGTCGACCATACAGTGCAGAGGTCGTGGTTTCGGCCTCCCTGTGTGGAGTTTGCATGTTCTCCTGCATGGGTTTTCTCCGGGTACTCCGGTTTCCTCCCACATTCCAAAAACATGCATGGCAGGCTGATTGACCACTCTAAATTGTCCCTAGGTGTGTGTGTGTGCGGATGTTTGTACGTCTCTGTGTGCCCTGCGATTGGCTGGCAACCGGTTCAGGGTGTCCCCCGACTACTGCCCAAAGATGGCTGGGATAGGCTCCAGCACCCTTGTGAGAATAAATCGGTTCAGAAAATGGATGGACCAATGGATATTTTATTTATTATGATTTATTTATATTTATTATCGTGTCATGAAAAGGACACATCTTAAGAAGTGCGCTCCACATAGCATTGTTTCTGTCACATGAAAAGTTGAAATGATAACGCCACAGATTTGTTTGCATCGTTGTTGTTGTTGTTTGACTCACAACTTACTGACTTATGACTTTAAAAAGATACATGGGTACAGGACCTTGGAAAAATAAGGTGCACTGTTCGGTTGTGTTCACTTGGTGTGTGCAGTGGGCTGAAAATGCCACAAGTTGGCATCCAGGCATGGGCTTATAGGAATGTAGTACAAGGGTCCTCTTGATATTCATGATTGACTTTTCGCAAATTCGCCTATTTGCAGCTGTATTTTGGATCCTATCGATCGTAAATCACTGACAATCGTGCTAAATAAAGCTTACAGTGCATTTTAGATTCAACCCAAAATTTCCTACTAAAGCCAAATATCTCAGACTTTTTGTGAGTATTGTTTGCATATGAGGGGCAGTCACACAGTAATGAGCTCAATTTAATTTAGCCTACTGCAAATGTAAATATTTTCCAGATATATTTTTTTTTGAGATACTATACTTGTTTGAAGGTTTACTAAAAAAATAAATAAATAAATAAAATCCTCTCAGCCGTTTTGGAAATGACGTCATTATCGAATGTCCGTCAAAAGTAGAGAGCTGAAGGGGCAAGAAAAAAAAAACTCTTCGCCTACCCCTGCTCCACCTTTGAAAGCCAAACACATTGAGTCACCTCGGTTTGAGTGTGCAATGTAAGAATGGGGACACATTGCATGCACATTTTGTTGTTGAATAGTGTGAAAAAGTGACAAGCCTCATGCCAGCCTTTTTGAAATAATTCCAAACGATATGTGGGTTGTTTGCCCCCGACTGCACTGCCACAATGTGTTTCGCATTAGATCACTTCACTTCTGGCCGTCACAATTGCAAGTTTAAGTTGCAGCTCTCAACAAGGACTAACTTAGCTTCACCTTCTGTGGTCGACATCTGTTTTTAATTTTATTGAGATTGCCTCCCAAAAATTAAATGTAGCGATCCACCCTTTGTACATAAGCACGTGCTCTGTTCTCAGACAACTCCCTGCTCACAGATTAGTTTTCGTTTTTTCTTTTTGGTTTGTGTGTGTGTGTGTGTGTGTGTGTGTGTGTGTGTGTGTGTGTGTGTGTGTGTGTGTGTGTGTGTGTGCGTGCGTGTTTAAATGCCCTGGGTAGATGGCGTCTGCAAATGCCACCTACGGACAAAAGGAGTCCTCGGACCAGAACTTTGACTACATGTTTAAAATCCTCATCATCGGCAACAGCAGCGTGGGCAAGACGTCTTTCCTCTTCCGCTATGCAGATGACTCGTTCACGCCGGCCTTTGTCAGCACAGTGGGCATCGACTTCAAGGTCAAGACCATCTATAGGAACGACAAGAGGATAAAGCTGCAGATTTGGGTGAGACGGGTCCGAGCCTTTTCGCCATCCAGGGTTTTTTCCCTTTCTCAAATTGCGGCAGTGGTGGCACCATCGTGATCGTTGTGCTTCTCAGCCGGCTCCAAGCAGCGCTTTTTCAGTCAATCATTTATTGCACAGGTGTCAAACTCAAGGCCCGGGGGCCAGATCCGGCCCGCCACATCATTTTATGTGGCCCGCGAAAGCAAATCATGTCAAGTCAGCTTTATTGTCAAATATGCTGTATGTACAATATACAGCACAGATGAAATTTCTTTCCTCTCAATCACACTGTAAACATGCAGTGCATTTAAAACACTAAAAATAAGGGCAGTGAAACTGAACTGCATAAAAAGACATAAATATATAAACAAATAAAACAATAAATAGCAATCAACAGACAACCAAGGGCATTTGTGATTATTGCGGGTTAAGGTTAGATTGTGCATGTGTGTCAAATTGTATGATCCTTGCTAAGGCGTAGAAAAAAAAGTAGTGTGTTTCCGGTAACCCGACCGACTGAGAATTTCTACGTCGAAAAAAAACTTTACGGTCGGCATTTTATTGAAACAACCCTCTACATTTTTGCGTAGAGGGTTTACATCGGTGCAAACTCTCGCGATATTGACGTTGAGCGCGTGCGTCGTTTGCCCTGTCGTCTGTCAACAACATTGAAACATGGCAGCGGCCGCGATCTCCGACGACAGTTTAAACCGCGTTTTCTGTTAGTCGCATGCTCGCACCATAATGTTAAGAAAATAGCATCCATTGATGTATCGAAAAAAATTCAGCGAACTAATTTAAAAAAAAAACTTTGTCCGACCTACCGACCCTATGCTGAAATTTCATGTTACCGGAAACACACTATCTTTTTTGTTTGGCCTAAAATGTGCACCGAAATGTCACATTGTCATGTGTAATAAATAAGAAATGAGATTTTGCAATAATTTAGCTATCCTGTTTACACTCACTTGAACAATAATTGAACAAACTATTATAGTTGACTGATTTCAAATCTAGTAGTCCATTATTTTGTTGTGTACAAATAATAATGTGATGAGGAGATTAAAAATGTTTGTGGTCTCAACTGTCAAAGAACGGCCCTCCGAGGGAAGACGTAACTCCGAAGTGGCCCGAGACAAAAATGAGTTTGACACCCCTGATTTATTGTTTAAGATAATCACGGAACATTGCGTTGAACCATTTCATTGACATAGGAGGCCATATCATTCATATTTTTCACCAAGTAAAATGTCTCTATGCGCTCGGTGTAGTCCAGTGCTGTGTTCCTTCTTAATGGTAGGAACACAACTAAGCTTTTTCTTTTTTGTTTTTGTCTACAGCCATTAGTTTTACCCACAGAGACGACAGTAGAACATGACAGTAGACCCCCAGTGGACCAAAATAATATTTGCGCCTCACATGCACAATATTGTTGAATCATGCTAAATCAATATTTATTTATTTATCATGTCTTTATGTAACATTTATTTGTCCAGGTAAGGCAGTTGAAGACAGGTTTTCATTTGCAATGTTGACTTGGCTGCAGCTGGTAGGTGAAGTAAAACAAAACAAAAAAAGGACCCCCGCCCAAAAAAATAAATAAATAATGCAAACCAAAAGTCAAACAAATTATGTATCAGATCACTCAATGGGAGAATCGTTCGAATATTTGTGTTCTAAAACTATCCATTAGCTGCAGCCCCACACAGAAGTTTTGAGTTTTCTGAATGTCAGATTTGGATTTTTCTATGGAGAGAAAACCGTGGCGTTTTACTCACGTATGTGGATGCAGGACACGGCCGGCCAGGAGCGCTACAGGACCATCACCACAGCCTATTACAGAGGAGCCATGGGCTTCATCCTCATGTATGACATCACCAACGAGGAGTCCTTTAACGCCGTGCAAGACTGGTGAGGGGACGCTTGTGCGTCATGTGTCTTTTGACTGTTCTTGCTCAGCACCCCTTTCAGGTTTTTACTTCGCTCATCCCATAGTCCAGGGGTCCCCAACCGCCGGTCCGCGGACCGGTACCGGTCCGCAGGGCATTTGGTACCGGGCCGCACAGAAAGAACTTGCCTTAATTCCGTTTTATTTATTTCGGAATACGAAAGATGTTTTATTTTGAAAAATTACCGGATTCTCCGTTACATCCGTTTAAAGTTATGGCTGAATATTCTGAGATCGCCACAGTAGCACTGTTGCTATTTCCGACATGCTACCTGTGTGAGGAGGGGGTTTTCTGCAGCAACGGCGACTAAAACAAAATTACGAAGTAGACTGGACACACTTGAGGTGTCATTGTCTCCTATTACCCCGAGATGGGACCGTCTGGTTGCAGAAAATCAAGCTCGGGGCTGTGGTGAGTCGTCATTGTCATGCACTTTGAATTTGCGTTGTATCGTATTTTGAAGGCATTAAACATGACCATAGCGATCAGAGAGAGTGTTGCGGCCAGATTAGACGCTCCTTGTGTTTATTATTATATTTCGAAAACACCACAGTTTCCATGCAGCTCATACCATATTATTTTGTTGTATTATTTCCGCCACACCTTAAATGCCGGTCCCTGAAAATATTGTCTGACATAAACCGGTCCGTGGGGCAAAAAAGGTTGGGGACCCGTGCCATAGTCGATTGCTGGCGACAAGACCAATAAATGGCCTGACAGCGCCATGCAAACTACTGTGCAAAGATAATCGTGGAGCCAGTGAGTTGAATAGACTGGACTGGTTTTTATATTAACATCCAGAGACTTCTCAGACAAATAAGTTCAATATTTGTTTGAAACCTGTCTGGTTGCCTTGTTGACACTTCACTTACACATTGGAACATTAACCCCACCAGAACAAACAAATCCATCAAGCATAATCATGGTTCTGCTTTTAGAAAGAAATTTATCTGTAGGGTGAAAGTCTAACATACTGCCGACATTTTTAATTTGATCCCTGATGAGCGTTTTCAAAAACTTGGAGCTCCATTGTCAAAAGTTAGCTGTTTCACGCCAAAATGACACCATTTGATGATGTACTTTTTAAAAAAAAAAAAAGGAAAAAATCCCAAGCCCTAATGCCTCAGTATCCATCCATCCGTTTTCTGATCTGCTCAAGGGACGCGGGGCGTGCTGAAGCCTATCCCGGCTGTCTTCGGTTAGGAGGCGGGGTACACTTTGAACTAGTCGCCAGCCAATCGCAGGGCACACATAGACGACCAACCATCCACGCTACACTCATACCGAGGGACAATTTAGGGTGCTCAATCAGCCTGCCACGCATGTTTTTGGAATGTGGGAGGAAACCGGAGTACCCGGAGAAAACCCACGCAAGCACGGGGTGAACATGCAAACTTCACACAGGGAGGCCAGAGCCAGAATAGAACCCTGCACCTCTGCATTGTGAGGCAGACACACTAACCAGTCGAACACTGGGCCGCCCAATCCCTCAGTAATGCTTTGTATTTGTGCATGCTCAATTTAGTAAATGTTAGTTTGTTTGTACCCCCGACAGGTCCACTCAGATCAAGACCTACTCATGGGACAATGCTCAGGTGCTCCTGGTGGGGAACAAGGTTGATATGGAAGATGAGCGGGTGGTGGCCACAGAGAGGGGCCGGCACCTGTCAGAACAGCTTGGTAAGCGCAGGCGTCTGTTTACTTCATCCTGTTGAAGTTCAATCATTCTACTTTCACCGCACTTCTCTAGAAAGTCCCTTTTGACAGTACACACCAAGTTAAATTGGACCTTTGGCTACTGTATGCCTGACCCCAAACTCCCATGTATTAGTCCGCTGGAATGCAAACGTTTAGTGCTGCTATCAATATATATATTCGTTAAGTATGTTTTTCAAAGCTTGGAAGTGGGTCTCGCCCTTCTTGTTGATGAAACTATGGTTTGAAAACACTGTAAGGACTAACAGGTCCCTGTAAATGGCGATGTTGCATCACATTGGATTCAAGAGCAGCATAGTTTTTGTGTCGGTAATGTAGAATCATGGCTTGTCATTTTGATTACGAGGGGAAGAAATGGCAAGTTTCGGAACCTCACACTCGAATGAGTATGTCTGTGCTTACTTTGTGGCAATATGGGTAACTCTGCCTTGCAAATGGCCTGCCGTGAATCAGTTAATATTTCAAACTCAGTTTACAACATAACCCTAAGAAAATGGCTTACAATTTGATTTAAAAAAATAAATACGCACGCACATGCAGTGAATACTTCCACTAACAACCCAGGTTAAGACTGCCCAAACATAAAAAGCTATCATTCTCTCAGTTGAAAGACATCACTTCATCTTACTTCTTAGACACAAAGTACAACTCCCCTCTGATGCAGGGCTTTGGTGCCATCTTGGAGCATTTGTCAGTTAGTCTCATTGATGTCTCTCTACTGCCCTCTGTTGGACGACAGGTTTCGAGCACTTTGAAGCAAGCGCGAAAGACAACATCAACGTGAAGCAGACCTTTGAGAGGCTGGTGGACATCATCTGCGAGAGGATGTCCGAGACTCTGGACAACAACGACCCCGCTGTCACCGGAGCCAAGCAAGGCCCACAGCTCACCGAGCAGCCACAGAGGTCCCATCAGGACTGTGCTTGCTAAACACGTCTCTCTCTCGCTCTCACACACATACATATGCACTACATTTGCTGTCCGGGAACCCATTTACAGTCCCTTTTTTTTTTTTTCTCTCTCATATCTGTTAACCTGCCCGGAATGATTGCCCACTGACAGACACACGCAAGCAATGCTACTTCATCATAAAGAATCGATTGCCACAAATTTGCTCTTTTCAATCTATATCATCCGCACAGCATAATCCTAATTGAGTCAGGGGCCGAGTGCTCTTCAACATGCAAACATTTCCATGTCCCCCCCTCCTCCCCAATATATGTAGATAATGTGTGCAAACTCGATACAAGAGCCAGCCCTCATTGTTGTCTGTAATTTGTTCATGTCGGGTCCTGCAATTTACATTCAAACCTCAAGTCCAAATGAATACAAAACAGTTGATTTGTTGTCGCCATACTCCTGTTAAGCAGGGTTTATTTCCCAGTTGACAGGTATTCATTGGTACAAGTATAATTCTGAAGCTTGTATTTAAATGCCAATACATTGAATCCAGTTTATCAAATGGCTAGTCAAATATAATCTAGGATTTGTGTTGAACCTTGCGAGCTTTTTAACTTAAAAATGGGGCGGGGGGGCACTTCTTGTGATTCAAAGTGGACAGCAGCATCAGTTTTGTTTTTTGGTGCTACAGCCCCTTAGTGTTGACCTATTTAGTCTCCTAGAATTTTTTTAAAGACAGTCTTGTTCGAACGTTTTAACACTACAGAAGTCACGGTAACGGGCATGGGCTGGTAACAGATTCTGATGGTCGAAAAACTGTGAAGACAAAAAAATTACAGGATTGTCTTCCTGCAATTGCAGCTCTGACATTTATTATTTAGAATTTTTTGGTAAATCAAGTTTGTTTGTTTGTTTTCAACATGGTCCGTGGGTACTTTGGTGAATGTAAAAAAAAAAAAAATTGTGGTTACTTGTCAGAGCAGCGGGAGGGGTTGAGTCACTTTGCTTGCAATACAACTCAGACAAAAAAAATATTTATATATAATATAAAAAAATACTACACATGGGTAGCTGTTTTGAAACTGACTTTTTTCAAACCACGGTTTCCCTTAAAATCTGGCACTGGCCCATGCTTAGAACATGGGAAGGGTCTGCTCCTCACATTAAATTATGGCAATTGGGCATTCGGGTAAAATTTCCCAATGAAACAAAATGGTTCATCGACCTTTATATGTTAACCTCACTAAACTCTTAAATGCAACTGTAAAAGGTTTCACGACATTTTTGCACAAGTTGCAGTTCTACTCCAACTTTCTAATCCTCTCTGTGACTCTTCCAGTCTTTCAAGATGAGGATCCGCAACTCTTTGAGGCTTCATCAGGAGCTTACAACAAGAAACTAGAAAAGTCACAGAAAGGTGTAGAAGTAGACATTGTTGGAACTCTCCTGAAAGCCCAATTTCGCTAACCTTTTATGTGGGTCGTGCATAGATATTTAGAAAGTCACTTGCTTTGCATTTGAAGCTGCACACAAAACCCAGAATCAAGCTATTATACACCCAAATCATTTCAAATGAATTCTTTCCCGTGCTTTAGGCTCTATGTTGTTTGTATCGCTTGTTGACTTGGATCGTTATCGGTTGTGACATCTGGCCCACGTGTCAGGAGTTAAAGATTTTGTGCATTTGTTTTCTTCTTTCACTATGACAGCACCATCAGCTTCAACCAAGTCTTTTTTTTGGCAAGAGAATACGATATCTTTTTTTTTTTTTTTTTTAGCATGTTCTTTGTTGAAATTTGAATGAAGTGGGTTTGCTCATGTGGGTTTACTGTACATGCGTTCACTGAAGTGCATGCAAGAATATATTTTGTATTATTTATAACTTTATTTTTACTGTGTTTCCAATCTGCATCTCCTTTCTAATCCTCCTCGCTTTTTTTAACATGTCGGTGTTTACAACCTCAGGAGGACAGTAAAACATTCCAGGCGTTTGGTGAGCATCTACTTTGTCTTTTCCAAAGCAGTTATGTAACTTTGAAAGATGCCAGTGTTACAGCAGACTGTTCTCACAGAGCTATAAGAGGTTCCGTTTTATCTCCGACCACACCCAAATATCAGCAACACGAGCCTGCTAATGGTTTTCACGCATGTCCTAAATTGCAAGTGTGTGAGCAGTCTGCACCAACCTCCAAAGAGGAATCCAAATAAAAGTTTGCTGGGCTGTGGCAAACCTGTCAGCAGCTCTTTCTAAAATGCAGTAAACGGAATGCAATTGAAAATGAAATCCAAGTCACCCCATCTACCCCATTTATTTTGCTCTGGCTGTAAATATGCATATGATTCAAGAACACCCTCCCTGTTATAAATTGTAAATAGCTGTTTTCTGCCCATCTGGTATTGTGTGAATTGTGCTGTGATTTTTGTGGTGCCAGATTTGCTCAATGAGGGATCAATAAATAAATGCTAGCAGCTGAAAGTTGTCGGAGAACTACAATTACTCCCAAATGTTGGTACAGTACTGTACAGTAATTTAATCAATGTGTGCCATTGACGTGGCCTGTTTGTTCATCTAATGACCAACAGAGGGCGTCCTAATGCAATACATTAATCGTTTTGTCAGTGCCACAATTTGAAACCTTCTTTGCTGGGTGAGGACTTTTTTTTTCTCCCCCCTCCCTCCACTACCCGTTTTTATGAAGTCACCAGAGGGCCATTTTACATTTATGTGAACTGTCAACACGCACGTATCATTGTTTCAAGCGTATTCGGCCCATGGGTTATAGGTTCCCCACCCTCATCTAGTGTTCGTACACAGTAGGGACAGTGCAAGACAAGATCACCGTTAAATCGTAGGAAAAGCTGGTTTTTGTTTAATTTATAATGTAAGCGCAAACACTTTACTGAAGTGAATGTAATAAATGTTAGAGATGAGTGCATCGTACACAAATGGGGCTTCCCAATACATACACGTACATTCATGGAAGTTTAGTGCCTAAAGTCTTCTAAGCAGCCACCATGGAGACAAACACAATGGAATACAATGGTTTACTGGCAGGAAAACATGCAGTGTTCATTTTTGAAAAACAAAAGTAAATAAATGGTTTCGGAAATAAGATATTTGTTAGAGCAAGTGCTTGTAAACAAGTAAGGCAGTACATATGTACATTTGGATGGCAGCACTTAATGACACATTTGGCTGTTGAGATTTTCCATCAATACTAGAGGTGTCAAACTCAAGGCCTGGGGGCCAGATACGGGCCGCCACATTTTATATGGCCCAATAAAGCAAATCATGTGTATCTACTTCATTTCTTCCTCACATCTGAACCAGTGGAATTGCATATTGTTTGCACTTAATGTTGCTGTGTCATGCTCAGGTGGTCACAGTGTACCTGACGCCTGCCTTCAGAGAACCATTTTATTTCTTAATGTTCACTTTTTTTAATACAATGTGGTGTTATTTGACTTGATTGAAAACACGTACTAAATGTTTTGGGGAAGCTGGAATAATAGAATTAACAATCCCAATTAACGTGGAAGCCAAGTCAAACATTTTGTGCCACCACTAGTCTAAATAATATAGTGTCTGTGGAATCAGAATTAAGAAAACTCATCCACCCGTTTTCAGCCTTCCAAGAAGGTTGACTTTTTATGATGTACCGCCCCCTTTCGTCGACTGAAATTGACGTCTGTGCCCATGGGCTCGCACAGCAAATGTCACGTGACCAAAACAGGGAAAAACAGGCAAGCCGTGGTGTTCACTATGTAAAAAATAAAGCCCCGCTGTAAATTGGACAATAGTTAAATTGTTTTAAAAACTAGTTATGCGATAAAGTGTAGCTTATAACGCGACGAGGTAATTTTACTTGTACTGCATATAGTTTCGTAACAGCCCTGTGAGAGGAAACCATAACTACTGTATAGGGTGGCCACGACAAAAATGAGTTTGACACCCTCAAGTATACATACACGTGTGTCACGTGTGTACACTCACGGTGCTGCACGGCAGTTTGCTACATGGCTGTTTTGTGCCAACAAGCCGCTTCCATTGGGGCCACTCAGCAGCAGGCTTGCGACTCACACCCTCTGCCAATGAACCTTTCAGTTCACTTGCACGCTGCATTTACCAACTTTGCCTCCAAAGTCATTCAGCGTGCCCGAAAATTAGTAAGCTTGGACCTGGTTTGGTAAAAGTTGGCATCCGCTGCTGACGTGGTTCATAACCTTCTGCTTGAGCTGAGCCACCTGCTCCCGGAGCACGCTGGCCGTGGACGCCAGCTCGGTGTTCTGCGTCTTCAGGCTCTTCACCTTGTCCTCCAGCCGAGAGATCCTCTCCAGTTTCCTCTTGCGGCACTTGGAGGCAGCTATCCGGTTGCGCAGCTTTTTCCTCTCCGCCTTAATTCGCTCCTGGTTGTCCATGTCAATCGGGGAGAGAGGCGGGCTGTCCCCGAGGCTCTGCATGTCTGGAACCGTCTGCGGCTCGTCCTTCACGGTCCCACCAGCGGACTGGAGGCGGGACAGCGCCGCTGCGGTGGATTGCTGCCGCTGCTGGTGCTGCGGGCTGAGGTGGGACGGAGGCGGCGGGAAAGGGATGGTGTCGGTGGAGTAATTGATCGTGGTGCCGCCCAGCGGGCTGGCGGCGTAGCCGTTCAGCGTGGTGTACACGGGGAAGTCCGACGTCTGGAGCGCGGACGAGCCCACCGCGTTGGCGGCTCCGAGGAGCTCCAGCCTGTCCACCGAGACGCAGCCGGCTTCGCTCAGCTGGTTCTGCTTGTGCAAATCCTCCAGAGCCTTGACGAAGCCTTCCGCGAACTCCTGCTCGTCGCTGGCCGACTTCGGGTAGAGGAACTGGGACGTCGGGTTGGCGGCGCCCACCAGCCCGTTGGACTGAATGATGAGACGCTCCAGGTCGGGGGAGGCCAGTTTGAGTAGTCCCAAATCCGGCGAGTTGAGCAGCACGTCGGCGTCGCGCAGCGGATTGGCCTTGGTCTCGGAGGTCTGCGTGTCCAGGTTGAGATTGATGTCCTTCTTCATCATGTTGGTGTGGGAAGAGGTGGTGCTGGGGCTCCTCGGAGATTTGAGCACAGTGCCTGGGGATAGGCTCGTGTCCATTCTACGCCCTCACACGAGGGCGCGCACTCGCAGACTCCACTATCCAAAACATGGGGGGAAAGCGGCGGATATTTCCTGTAAACCACCACCCTCTTTCCTTAGAGGGTTTCAGACGCCGGGGCCCCTCCTGTAGTCGTTGTCTCTTCCTAGTGGCACGTCTGCTATGCACCGCTCGCTTTCTAGCCCTAAAAATTCCATTATGTCACCCCAGAGCGCACAGATTGGCCCAAAATGACGTCCGTTTCCGGTTATATTTGAATAAGGGGCCGGGCCGGCCTTTGTTGCCATGGAGACTCTAGGTAAACTCCAAACAGTGCAATGCATTGTGGTTTGATGTCATAGCATAAAAAAGCTCAGGGTCGCCAAAACCGAGCAGAGCGAGGGAGCGAGAGAGAGAGACTGCATGGGCGGGGAAGGTGTGAGAGGCGAGGGCTGGAGGAACCGTGAGCAACCATTAGAAAACGACCTAATACCAAGCAGATTTCGAGTGAAAGCTTTGCTGTGCACTAGCACTTTTGTACCGTGGCATCTGCATCTTTTTAAATGTCAAAAGTCAGTCCATTTTATTTGGATGACATTTTTACCCGGCTGTGGAAAAGTACTCAAACTTGTAAAAGAAGTAAGAATTCAGCTCCCATACTTGTCCCGAAATAAATGCGTTGTGAATTTGATACACCATCGAGAAATGTTGTTAACAGCCCTGCCAAATTTGAATGATCAAAAAACATCACCAAATATATAAAATGAGGCGTCAAAATTGTGTAGAAAAAAAAGCCATTGTATCCGCTTTCAAATGCTGTGTTCAAATAATTTCACTACGAATTGGAAAAAATTGAACTGGATGCTACTTGATTTAGCATCTTTCTTACATGCATGTGGAAAACATCTGGTGGCTAGAATATGTGGTGGTCATGACGAAGAGCTACACGCCAGCCCTCAAATGTCTGAATAAACAGAATGAACGTTTCTATGATTATTATTGTTTGAGACAACACACTCAAAAAAACGTCAATGGTGGTTTTAGGCTGGCACGAGACACAAAGCGTTTGCCGCAATTCATTCTTGGAGCTGAGAACAACAAGCAATTCTCTTCTGGAATATCTTGCTTCACCGAATGTGTTGCACCATCATTGTTAGTGCTCCGTCTTTTTGGGGGTGGGGGGGGCGGTCATGTCATTATACACACACTGAAAAAAGTAACAACCCCATTTGACAAAATAAGGAGCAGAAACTCTAGATACATTTTCAAACAAAGGGAGTACAAGTAAAAAGTTGGAAAATATCAATAAATAATTAAAAGTACAGATGCCACCCCCCCCCCAAAAAAAAGAAACAGTTGAAGTACAGGAACCATTTTGAATTTGTCACTTCCCATGACTGGGGCAGTGTGAGAGATGAAGGCTGGAGTAAGTACATGCAACCATTTCACACATCATAATATCAAACAGATTTCGACTGAAACGTTATCTTTTCTCCAGCAAAGAGTGCGACACGGCGGAATCTGCGTCGATTTAAAGCACCAAAAGTCACATTCACACGAGAGGGAAACTTTAAATATGCCCCAATAGAGGAAAATGCGAAATACAGCATGAGACGTGGAAGTGAAAAGGAGACAGCAGAAAAGAGGAATCCTCATGTTTTACTAAAAAGGGAATATCTGTCATTTCTGAGATTTTTCTTAAGGATCAAAAGAGGAAGGAAAGTAAATAATCACATGATCAAGACCAAGAATGTCAAATGAATGTCAGGGCAAACCATTCTTGGAAAAAAAAACATCCTCAGAAAAAAACCAGGCTAAATTCAATGAAAATTGTTCGGACTAGCACAAGGACCATAAAGTAGAACCTGCGCTTGAACATGTTTTTGTGCCCATACACGGCGAATACGTCTGCATCAGTACCACCAGTGAGCAGATAGGGCATCGTTAGTTTCCACGGCAACAGTGAGATAGCGAGTGACGCAAGTAGACGTAGAAAGGTGAATGGGTTCTGCATTGCAGCTCGTGTAGGCGGCGGATGGGAGGTGTTTTTATGCGTGAGTGGGAGGGCGGTCATTCAGAAGTATGAATCAGGGTTGTTACTTGTAAAATTAGGAGAATAAAACCGAATAGACCCCTGTTCATCCTCTGTATTCAGGAGAAAAGAAAAAAAAATAGACAGTCGAAGCATATTATCCCCACAATGCCACTCCATAGCCACAGTGTCCAGCGTGAGTCATTTCACAACCAAATGGGTGTGGATTGCACTGAAAGTGGGGAGAACAAAAAACAACAACAAACTTTCCTGCCCAAAACAGAGATTAGCTCTGGTTTCATGGCAACAAACTGAGCAGATTTGTCCTCAAAATGGTACAATGGTGAATATGTCACTTTGTGTGACGCACAGTTTCCTCTCCCACCGCCTTTCAGGTGCCCTTTGACTCGCATACACTCCCTTGGGAGACGCTAACAAGCCACCAACGCCCCCGTGTCACACGAGAACATGTTCCTAGCTGAATTGCACCACGACAACGGATGGCGAGCGGTCACACGCACGCGCGCACACACGCACACGCACGCACGCACGCACGCCCGAACACCACACACACACACACACACATACACACATACACACACACACACACACACACTCACAAGCCACTTTTGCCGTGCCGGTAATTAAGAGAGGGATGGTCGGATTGTACTCGATGTACTGTTACACAAAACCGCTTGTTGTTTGGTAGCCTCTTTTTTTTCCGCCTCGTTTCTCACGCATGCGCAGAGATCCACGAGTGGCCGTTAGTTGTAGTGCGCATCCCGATGCAGTGGATGGCAGTAAAGGCACATGCACCAGCTTTTTCTAATTCAAGTGCGTTATTTCCTGTACACTGCCGGTTCGACGAAAGCTCCCCAATATTGGCGCTGGTCTTCGCACCCCATTCTCTAAAATTGAGCAGCAATAACCCACGAGAATGGGCAACAAGAAGAAAGTTATCGTAATAGGTGAAGAATTTCACAGAATGAACGACAATGTTATTTGTTGGAATAAGCAGCATTTTCAGGTCGAGTGGCAATTTAAACGAGGTTATGACCACTGTTCTGCCGAACCATGAAATACAACTTATTTACTTTAGAACAAAGAGCTGTTATTTACTTTTCGCCTTTTCTCAAACCATATAGGAAATTCACACGTCTGGGATTAATGTTTTGCTTGAGCCTTTTGACTTGGACACCCCCCCGCCCCCCAGATCTTGCTCACACAACATTTTCAAACTCAGTGGCGTTCCGTCAGGGCCAGCAAGGCCTTCTCTGCTAGCCTAAACATTCTCAATTTACTTTTCTGAGAATAACATAGATATAATTTGTTATTTTATTTTCATAAATATTTAAACAAAATTATTCTCTGTATTCTTTACGTCATATTAGGGGGGTTCACACGGCACACATTTGCTCCGGCGCTGCACCGATGTATTTTGTTGCGATATATTTTACACTGGAGCAAATTTTGTGGAGCGTTCACACGTACAAAGCCCCTGAGCGTATTAGCACCGGAGCAACGTCGGTGCAGCTCCACTTGCGTTCACACGGTAGTTTCTGCAGCGGAGCAAAATGACAGAAAACCAATGAGCTGTCGTGTGGGTTCTTTTTAAAACGTATACACAACTCAAGCAACTACTGTACAGGCACGTCCTTCTCCTTCTCGGTCTCCGTGCCTTCTGCTCGAGAGTGAC